TTTTTGAAAAAATAACAGTCCAAATAAAATAAGCGCCAGTGATCGATAATGAAAAAGTAAAATATTTTACCTAAGAATGATTCATCACGTATTGGAGAGTCAAGCTTCAGTCCCAAATTGAGAAAAGCTGCAAGACTGCATTTTAGTTTTTAACCCCAAACAACGTCCCATCCGAATGCTTCTGTAGAAATAAATTTGAAAATTCTTATTGGCAAAATGATTTGCATTTTTAACGTCATCTCTTCACTTCAGAGCACTATTAATTATATTAATGATGGAACCGTAATTTCATACGTTTAATATTCACAATTGTTTCTTGCACATTTTAGTGTACAAGGGTGGTTATACAAGTTTGGCCAGTGGATAATCTTACTAACCAATATCAATTCTATCCCTATTAAGTATAAAATGGTTTTTTCCCTCGAAAATTATGTTTATATATATATATATATATATTTCCCACTTTGCTGTCCGAATTTAATTCTTATATAAATGGAACTATAGTAAACGGAGGTTCATTTCGGTTAATAATATGAGAGGGATGAAAACCGATAATGTAAAGTACGTTAATAAATTTCTCACCATAAGAAAAAATTATGATGAAATAAAAACTCTGACCAACTGAGTACATATTGCTTATGCTTAATAAACCACAAAATCACTGTCGTTATTTTCAAGGGGTTCAAAATAACATAACAATAAATTTCGAAATTTATTAAAATGGCAATCACTTTGATACTTTTCACTTTAAATTTTTTTATGTGGAAAATCATTTTAGTTCCATTTCTATCAGGAAGATACCAACTCATTCTGCAGCTAAACCTAAGTATACCTAAAAAACATTGGAACCAACATCAAAATTTTGTGAATTTGAATTGTAGGACGCATGAAATAGGATTCAAATAGAGGGATTCTTTATATCTGTCAAAGATTACATTTCAGCTAGCTAGCATCGAACAAGGAAATATTTGCATTGAAACACAAGAAAATGTTTTGCAAAAAATATTGACCTGGTGAATCGTTCTAAATTACTGACGGTATCAAGACTTAAAAGGTCTATTTCAGTATGTATTTTGGTTGTATATAACAAATTCAACGCACTCATTAACACTACCTAAAAATAAGATTTAAATATCATCTTTCTAGATGCGATTAAAAATTATTACCAGCATCTTTGTTGCTGAAATTTTGGAAAGTTAAGAAGGCTAGAAAAGGTGTAATAAAAAGTATGGATATTAGAAATCTATTTTGAAAATACAGTAATAAATTCAAAAGAAATACAGTATTTAAGATTATGATCAAAATAAAAAATGTTCATAAACTAACGAATTTAAAACTATTACATGAATAAATGAAGCGTTATATTTAATGATATTCATTGTCCAAATTAACTGTCTTAACTTTTTATCATATTTCAGAAACAAATAAATAATGAAAATGATTTTATTTAAGTAAGAAGAATTTATTTTAAAAATGATTTCGAAAGTAAATAAATACTATTTAATATTTATTAAAGGTTAATTAAGGCATATTTACTGATCTTTGTTTAAGTTGCGCAAAGCACTTTTGCTGGGATTTGTAAAGACTCGTGTGAGTTTGTAGGCGAGCTTTCTTTCTCACTGGTTTTTATAATTCTAATATTTGCTTTTATATAGCATGGGTTTGAAGGCACTTCCGCACCCAAAAATTGTGAAGAAGCACACTAAGAAATGGCATCGCCATCAAAGTGATCTTTTCAAGCGTCTGGGCGATAAATGGAGAAAGCCAAAAGGTATTGATAACCGTGTTCGTCGTCGCTTCAAGGGCCAAATGCGAATGCCGAAGATCGGTTATGGAACTCAGGCTCGTGTTAGGCATATACACCCTGACGGATTCCGCCACGTCATAATAAACAACGTGAAGGTAATTTCTTTCCAATATTTTATATCAAATATTATAGGAACTTGAGGTCCTGCTTATGCAGCACCGCACACATGCTGGCGTTATTGCGAGAACTATTTCACGCAAAAACCGTGTCAAGATCATCGAACGTGCTCGTGAGCTAAACATAAAGATAGTGAATCCCAACGCCAAGATCCGTCTTGTAGAAAACGAGTAAATGTATAATAAATTGTCCATGCCTATGGAATAATTGGCATTTTTTATTTCTTAACGAAAGTGGAATTTGCTCATTATTTTTGCGTTTTCAGAAAAACTTAGAATTTATATTTGAATGCATTATTTCCTGATGCAACTTTGCTAACGTACATAATTATGGGTGATTTTAGGCCTTCCTGCTTATTGTAAAATTTTGTAAACCTTCGTGTCGAGTGGCTTACATTGTTTCCCATGATTTTTACCTTTACTTGCTTCGAAACGTTTTCGTTCAGTATTCGAGTTATTGTGTTCGCGATGTTAGTGTTTTTTATGCCATCAATTTCTGTAAGTTTTTAAACAGAACCTACTTTGTTTCTCTATTTTCTATTCCGTTAGGAAGTTGGGAGGTAATTACACCTGATATAACTCGGTTTGTGTTAGCAGGTAGTGTACACAAAACCCTTGACAGGTTGCTTCCCACTTCCACTATGGAATTTGGTCCTCGTGATACAAGAGAAAAACTATATGCTAACATTGTAGTTTTTATCGTACTGTTCCCAGATTCTGAGGGGTTTATGGATGTGATTGTGAGGTATCTGTTGATGCTTCTGGATGCTTTAAAGATGTAGTTGTTTGCTTTGGTTCATTTTTTCTTGGTAGTATTGCTGAAATTCAGCTGTTTTGGAAGATTTTTAGGTTGGTTTTCCTATTGTATACTTGTGTATTGCGGTAGGTCTATGTTCAGGGTTCCACTTCCCAGATCATATCGAACTTGAATTACCACGACACAGTCACTGACCTTAATAATTAATATTGCTGGCTCCCTTCTGATCGCATTTCTTCAAGAGATACCCTGTCATATTTTTTTGGCCAGTTCACGTATTTTAGTATGATATCTTCTCTTAAAGGAAAGCAGACGACAAGGGTTAATCTACCTATCATTTATTTCAAATGGCAGGCTTTATGATATTTATCGTTAGCCCTATGATAGGTATCATAAAGCCCGCCATTTGAAATAAATAAATGATACTTATCATCAGCCCTTTAGCTGACTTCGGGCTTTACAGAGGAGGGGAACATTCATGTCACAAAAAGTGGAGAGGGAGGAACTGAGGAATGATTTATAGACGTAAAAGAGACAGACAGACACAAAGGCAGAGAAAAAGTAAGATGAGTACTGTGGAATGGATGCGAATATGACATATAGTGGGATCATTGTAGTTTAAAATCAGATGTCAACTGCCATTTTATGGGCTTGCCGTATGAGAATACGTTGCCCAGGGTGTACCACGTGGAGGTAAGCTTATCGCACACCCCTTTATTTATTTCAAATGGAAACCGGGGTCTTCCACGTGACAGGCGGAGATACTAGCCATTATACAATCGCGGGATCTATCTATCATAAAGGATACTGAGCATCAGTGAGAAAAGAGGTATGCAAGGTAGTGATGTGTTACTCATCATATTGTCGGCGGCCTCCTGAATCTACAAAGTTGTGCTGTCTTTATTCTGTGAGATGTCCCCCAAGCCACCGTCTGTTATGAGTTATACCATATTGAACAGGCCTGATGCACAACCCTTTCTGCACTTCCACTTCCTTTTGATATTGGCACTGACAACTTAGTGGCATCGGATAGCTTGATGTAAAACCGTATGGAGTTTTACGATTACCGGTTAAATAAAGGAAGGCACCTTTGGAACAGTGCATTGTTGCCAGGAATACGGAAGCTTTTGGAGTGCATTTGGTAAGCGTCGGCAAAAGAAGAGTGAAGACGGGAGGCCAAACAGCTGAGGTTACCGAAAGGCTTCAACAGATGCCATTTCTGTCACCCCTGTATTTATTCGAACATAAACTGCTAACAACCTGACAGGGTTTTCACTTCCAAGCGTCAATGACACGGAGACAACTTTTATTCAGCCTTTGGTTAAAATTACTGGTCGATCTTATTTCTATCTCCTTGCTTCATGAAAAAATTTAGTTATGATACGAATGAAACAATGGAAAATGCTTTCATTGCATTTCTTACTTTCTTCCTACAGGCGGTCGGGTCATTAAAGTACATACGACTTATATATTTTGCTATTGAAATGCATCTTACTTTGTTCGTCTCAATGGTATGGCTTTGATCACTCAACTGCGTGTAATCAGGTAGTTATAACTTATCAAATAAAGGTGAAAAGTGTTCTCATTTTCACTGAGGTGGTCTTCTAAGTTTAAAGATCGGGATTTGGCGTTGTAGTCGATCTTATAACTATTTAAAAGGTCGGAATAATCAAATCATACAAGTTGTCTCTAATTTATATATCATTCCCATGTTTACTTAAGCTTAACAGGTATTTAGGAGAAGAAACTACTATCAATCCGATAATACTTTTATCTCATAAAGACAATGTGGAGATAAAGCATATCCCATTTTAGAGCCTTAGTTTTGTCACTTTCATTTATCTCTTGGGGCCTGCAGCACAAATTTGGCTTCCTCGAATTGCAACGGGACAAGCCAGATGTTCACCAGTGGCATTCATTTCTCATATTCGCTTTAATGAAATAAATCGGCTGCAACTGCACTTAGCTCCACGCTTTCAGCATTATTGCCAACAATTTGCTCAACTAATCCTCTAACCACCCCAAATCTATTCCATGGACGTTGACTAACCACTGATTCCATCATGCAAAGCTGGCTGATCTATCAATAATTTCAAGCCTTGAGGAATTAGTGATTAGTCACATTCTGCAATTTCGTTATTTAAAGGAGCAGACACACTGAAGTGGACAACTTTAAATTTTAATTTGTTTTGATTTCAACCTCATAACTTTCAGTGAGAAATTTAGAGTCTTCAGCTTACACAAAAGGGCTACATTTTTGATTGAGCAAATCATTTTCCATCCTGGAAAGAGATAATACCATTAACACTGTTGCCATTGACGAAGGCGACCAAACGAAATTTCGTTTGTATCGTTGCGAACACTCCAGATGCTCATATTAGGACGAATAACTACGACTCAAAATTGTGCAATTCCCACACAGCCAAATTAATTTTTATAAAAAATATAATTACTTAGAACATCATCCTCATCACTCGAGCCGATGAACAGTCTGTTCAATTTTAATCCTAATAACTAATTCCAACTTACCTTTCAAACGAGGTACTAACTTATCCTAATCAAAAATGCCAAAAAGAACAAAAGTGTTACACAATTAAATAGATGCATACAATTGGGGGGACGAGAGATAATATACAATACGGAGTGTGCAAACAAATGAAGACAAAGGAGTCAAGAAGCAGAGGGACCAACAAGGTAGCCAGGGCGTTTTCCGGGCCAAGCTTCCTTTGCGTACTTCTTTTTCTTTGGGACTTCACCATCTGCACCCTCACTCTCTGAATTCCGCCGTTTCTCACCGGACGTCAACAGAGGTCCACCCATAATATCTTCCGCGGATAATCTTGGAGTGGGAACAATTTTAGATCGATGAAGAGAGGGCAGTGGCACCGGTTCTAAGGAATCAATATCCGGTGCAAGATTGGGCATAGGGAGACCCAATTTTGCAGCTAGTGAGAAACTAGGATTACTCATGGAAGGTAACTTTTCATCAGCTTCATTAGATGATTCTTCATCTCGAGGGATCGATCCGGGAGCTGGAGTAACTGATTTTGGTGCGATAATACCAATATCCGCACCCTCATGCTTGTTTTTGAATGGGATGAAGGTTTCCTGGACAAGATTTCGAAAACGACCAATGGAAGGGTCCACATCTTCTGGGTTAATAACTTCTTCAAGAACTTCACTAAAATGCACACTAAGGCGTTGATTCAAGGAGTTCCTGCGACCTTGTTTGGAAATTGGGGTTGGCATATTAATATCAGTAATGACTTCGATCTTCCTATTCTTGGCAGTGTTAAATTGAGTCAATTGTTCCAACTCATTTTCTCCTTTGGGTAAATTACTCTCCCCGTCTTGAAGAGAGGAATTCGGATCATCTGATGCGTTTCGAATGATAGAAGAACCGTTTACTTGATTTGGTCTCTCGCGGATGATATAAATCCGCTTGGAGGCACCGAAATGAATTTCCGAATCAATAGCAACTTTTTGAGGACGATCACGTTCCAAACGTATGCAACCGATAAACGTCCCATGGACACTACCAAGATCAATAAGAAAAGGTATATTGAGATGCTTGTGCCAAACTAGCGCTGCGTGAATTCGAGAGCAGGATTCGTGATCGATTGGAAAATCACAAAGTTGATGATTGCGACCGAAGAAGTAGCAGGGCTTCTCATCCATTAACAGTTTCTGAAAATATAAAGTCAGCGTGGGATGATTTTGTTAAATAATAATAAATATATTGGAAATTTGATGTTCACCTGAATTAATTTTCCTTCCTTCATTACATCTAAGTGCACACCGGGTGGTGGCTTACCGGCCCAGGATGGAGTCTTAAAATTATTTACAAGAGGTTCCCCAGAAGCTCCACTCATATTCAGTCAACAATTATTCCAGATATAAAAGAAAAAACCAAAGACAAAGGTCGAAAAATGAGTACTCAAGACAACTTGTTGAAGATAGCGCATAAAGCGAAAGTTGAATAAACAAAGGTCTATTAAGATATATGAAAATTCTTCAGAGCGATAAGTGGTAATTTTAAAGAGTTTAAAAATGTTTCGGTATTGTGTGGGTTTATTGTTAGGATTTCTTTCAATATTTACATCTAAGTTGAAAATCTTTAGTTCATTCATTTCAATGTAGGCTCTTATTCGGATAGGTAAACCGGTAGTAGTCACTGAATTTCTAGAAAAGATTATTTTCCATATTTATTTAATTTCAATTCAAATGTATTACGCCAATAATGCCGAAAACGATAGAATTTCGATCCACGAGAATGTTTAATAAATTAACTGAAGTTATTTGATTCAGAACTCTGATTGAATTTATTAGATTAGAAAAATTTGTATATTTTAACTCTACAATATCGAATCTTGTTAAGTAACGCAATAATAAAGCAATCTTTTAAAAACTTTGTGATAATGTAAATGAATTTCTTTTTTAAAACAATAATTTAATGTTGAGTACCTGAATAACATCTTGTTTCTATGGTTACTTCCTTTGACTATTTTGTTTAGTTATCTCAATTACATCCTTGAGGATTTGACCTGCTAATAGCGGTTTTTAAGCATGTCCGAGAATATTGACGATTATGCATCAAATATTCGAAAATTGCAGCTTATGGGATTCGGAAATGATTCAGAAATCAAGGAAGCCTTAGTGTCATGTGAAAACGATATTGATTGCGCAATCACGTTTTTAGTGAACGTACGTGTTTATTTCATATATAATTTATCAACTTGCTCTATTCCTTTTAATAATTAAATATTGGTTATTCTTAATACTCACTTGTTTTTTTTAAAAAATTATTTGTTCCTTGGTATTATTTTTTTAATTTTTAGCGAAATTTTGAAACAGTTTCCGAGACTCATGATATTGCAATCACTGAGAAACAGGATTTCATTTCAGTTGAAGTCAAGAACTTCCCTGTTGACGAGCTTAAAAAGCTTGAAGATTCCCTGTACATCAAGAAATGGAATATACCCTGTCTCAGGTCTCAATCCCTTGGACTCTGCCTTTCAAGCGCAATTCATATTGTTACTTCTGGTGACCTTTCCGCATTTGAATCAATGGAGCCTCTCCAACGGTTTATGTCCAAATGTCTCCCTGAATGCCTCAACAAGGTTAGTTTTGAATTATATCATTTGATATGGCGTCTTAAGTCTAGCGCATACTATAATGTGCGGTTATTATTGATTTTTATTTTCTTTTAGTTTCTAAAATCGAATGCCGTTTTGCAATGGGATGTGGAGACACTAGAAGGAGTTCACAATATGTTGGAATTAGCAGTTCAACTCTCGGTGGAGTGCTTGACCGTTGGTAAAAGGAACATGTCTCACGTTGACATGACAACTCTGCATGCTAGTTTACAGAATTTGATAATTCTAGCTTTTTCATACTTGGAATTAATTTTCGACCCGGAGTGCAATTATCATCAACGTTGTCGGGACAGGACTACAAACACTGGAACATATGTGTCAGTTTCGTAATCACGCTTTTTATTGAATTTTTATGTTTTTGAATTCCTAAAATCATTTCATTTTATCTATTATATTTTATCTTTCAAAAAATCACATCGAGAAGTTACCTGCTTCACTAATTCATTTGCACTTTTTTAATATTTAACTAAGAGATAAATAGTACTAATTGTTCCAGTTTTGACTTATTTGCTTACCCGATCACTTGGATCGGTATGAGTTTCTTTTTAAACATATTAAATTGTTTTTTGTTATTTCGCTCTTAGTTATTCATAAATATTGAAATAGTGAACAAAATCAGTTTGAAATATGCAGAAACTTGAACTATTTTTATTACGGTTATCAGCAAAATTATTTATGCTCTTTAAAATGGACTCTCAGTTTGGTTTGGAAAAGGAAAATAGGAGCATAGAGGCTTTATGCTTTGAATGACAAAAAACTAATAATTTATCCTGGTCGATCACATTTTGTGTCTGCTAGTATTAAAAAAAATGAATAAGCAAACAGTGAAGATTTCAAGAAAACAGCCCCATTTAGTTAGTAGTTATTTTAGCCCTTATCGATTCGCCATGACCCTATGCAAGCATCTTTAGCTTAATCGAATTCACCGATTCAAAAAATGGCTATTAGTGTTGGAAATTGGAGAAATTTATCATTGTAGCTCGAAGCCAATGTCATCTAATCGAATAGGAATTTGCTGACACATCAGTATCTCTGAAGAAAACTTATATGAGTATTAATATGCCAAATTTTAAAGATGAAATTATGATAAGTGACTAGTCATTGGCATCTCTTCCATTTATTTTTACCCCCTCATAATAATTCAGCAGTGCCGTTATGGCTACTTGCTTGATTACATATTGAATTATTACAGCGTTTTAATTAATTTACCATCGACATTTCCAACTTCGTTCCAGTGTTATGGTGTCAGCTGTAAGCAGCTAACAGATCGATGGCTCAAAAGAGGAATATAGGCATTCGAAAGTATTTTAAGAGCTGATGAATACAAACCTTCGCTCTAGTAAAATAGGCTCATTTGGCTCAAGGTAATTAGACCTGTAAGATAAAGTCGTACCAATCGCAAATTGGGTTTTAGGTTCATGGCCTAACCTCCACAATTGGCAAAACATTCTTCGGCAAATGCCATATTGAAAGCTGTGTAGCAATTGTCCAAATCGCGTCTTAGATGCGGCCTTTGGTGAATTCTGCATGCAATATTTAGACATTATTTTATCGGTTTTTGTAGAGTTATTGACAATCCCTATGTTAGAGTTAGAAAAATAACTTATGATATAATATTTATTAATAGTAAAGGTATTATGGAATATACTCATTGAACAAGCCGATGCAGAGCCATGGTGGAGGTGGAATAGATTTCGAAAGGGCAGCAGATTCGGTTCATTCGAATAGGTTGCTGCTTCTTTGAAAATTCCTTTGATAATCTTACACTGATTCTGAAATTAAATTTTGAGATGTGTCGTTCATGAGACCTTTAACGCCTTATTTATCATTGCATTCAGGAAAGTTTTCTTGTTGATAGTGCAAGAGCATTGCTATTTTTTACAAGCATTGACTTTTTTCGACAGCTATGCATTTCGTCGGTTTTGCTCGAATTCCATTAAGACCGGGGGGAAACGACATCGTTTTCTGTTTTTGTCATGACAACCCTATCATAATAAAATCCTTTTCTGTCTCGACCATTTTACCTTGACATATTCTAAGTCGTCCGCTTAAGTCTCTCTAAGATCTATTGACTTAAAGAGGTCCTGGAGAAATAGAATTGGCAATACTTCTCAAACCAGCCCAACGGCAAGTCTTCGATCTAACAACATGTCACGGATCTCTGAGTGGGTAGCCCCAAAATCAACCTTCTTGAAGCACTAAGAAGAGTTATAAGCATTATGTTACCAAATTCCCTAAGCACTATTGTGAAAGGATTGTAGCAGTGAATTGGCACTACAGAGAACCCACTAAGCCCCTACACTAACGTTCAGTGATTGTTGTGAACTTTCTAGAGAAAATTTAACGTTTTTTTTACTTTAGCGATCACTTTAACACTTGGGGGTCAAACAAAGAAGATACTGGAGAGAAGCAGGCAATTGCTGAAATTCTTCCTGCACCAAAAAACTTCTACCTTGTCAACCTACTCAATTGCTTTGGAGCTCATGGTGGCATGGAATTGGTTCTGTGGTACGGTACTCGGCCTCATTTACCTCTTAAAGTAAGTGTATTAGTTGTTGATAATTGTGAGGTAATGACAAGTCAATGTTCGCGAGATTGATGCTTATCTGAGCAGAGCCAATGAGTTCCTTCTCTCTTTTAAGTCAATTTTCTTTAACACTTTCCCGTTTTGGCCATGGAAAGTACGTCTCTACTTATTTGAGTATTCAGTAGCATAAACCATTGCTTAAAAAGTAGTCAGAATCAGCTGACTTGAGCATATCTCCAGGATAAATAATGGCCACTCTACTGCAACACACTAGATTGCGTTACGGCACGGCGTTGACCATATTTGGGGAAAAAATGTTCTGCCAACTGGTAGGGCGATGATTCATGCTTTATTTTAATTGGGACAAACGGCAGCCAATCGAACTCCAGGAGGCTTTTTACTGGCATCCTATTCACACTTCGGGGATGTGGTCACAGTAATTTAATTTTCTTCGAAAATTGAAAAGAATAGATTAGATTCTTAAGTCCCAACTTTTTTTTAATTTAGCAAACCGAATAACTGTGTTGAAAAGTATTTAAAAAGTAAACACCTTGTCCATAAGGCCTCCATTTATCATCATGAGAATTACCGATATCGCCCATCACGATTGAAGGGTTATATAGGGGTGTACAAATACCCAACAAATGTTCGAGTTCGATTGTATCCAGACGTGGTAAGGGGAACAATTCTATAAGTTCTTTTCTTACTAGATCAATGTTTGAACATTATTTATAGGCAATAAATTTCATTTCACCGTAAGGGGTAAAAACATCAGCCACGAAGGCAATCTATTGTCGAGTGCTTTCATACCAACGATGTAAATGATGATGTAGTAATATCTCTTGTCGAACCAGAATCTCTATTAACCACGGAAGGATTATATCCGAAACTCCCATGTTCATGGTGAGGTGCATTGATAATTTGTCACTCAAACTCTCCAACCTATAAATAAGATGACTGGACAAACACGTGCATTTCTTTGTTATCTCGACAAAAATGGTTTTTTTTCTCACCAATCGTTAATGGGACCGAGAATTGGATCGTTTACGGCAAAACAAAGCTAACGTTCACCCCCTAAGCCTTAGTTGACCTTTCGAGAACTTCTTTCATGCGTTTGGTGGGATGCACTTGGAATAAATGGTTTGAGCCAACGTTTACCGTCATCAGTTTGGTAGATAGAATTACAAGATGAGCGTAGAAATTTATTTACCTGAAAAGAATTAATTCTTCATATCAAAAACCCATCCCTACAGATTAAGAATGACAACCCCGAAATTGGAGAATTAAATAGGGAGGTTATACCACACTTTTCACTTTCATAGGACCCCGCCTTATTCTATGATAGAGTTTTAGGTCCATAGAGTCTATTTTAAGAGAAAGACAGTTTCCGAATGTGATTGAAAATTGGCTAAATGAAAATTTCAATAAAACAGACAATTTGTTTTCAAAAAAAGGGAAGGAAGAAGTGTAAAACTCTGTTA